TGGCTTACAGATTGAGGTATTGCTACTAGGACCCACCCACCCACCTACCTACCTACCAACCTACCTACCTACCTACCTACCTACCTACCTACCTACCTACCTACCTACCTACCTACCTACCTACCTACTCACCTACCTACCTACCTACCTACCTACCTACCTACCTACCTACCTACCTACCTACATACATACATACATACATACATCTGTATATCGATGTATAATTAGAAAGATCGAACGACAGACAGATAGATACATAGTTCGTTAGATAGATAGTCAGATAGGTAGATAGATAGTTAGATAGGTAGATAGGTAGATAGATAGGTAGATAGATAGATAGATAGAGAGATAGGTGGTTGGGGATTCAGGGGCTTTGGGTTATGTTTCAGGGACCAGGACCCGTAGGCCTGCGGGAAGTTGGGCTTGATAGTCAGGAAGATTCTTTCACGAGTTTCAAGTTAGCTCTGGACCGGTTTACGCGCCCTACATCGTACTGCGAACCCCAACCCCAAACCCTAAACCCTAAACACTAACCCTAAACCCTAAACCCTAGGCCTGCACCGTGGAAGGCCGATTTCTTGGCAATGGCTGATGACGAGGATGTGGAGCACGCCAATGTCATGGCAGCATTCTTGCAGTGGGACACCAATGGCACCTTGGCATCCTTTGGATTTAGGGTTCAGGGTTTGGGTTTTAGGGTCCAGGGTTTAGGGTTCAGATTTTAGGGTTCGGGGTTCAGGGCTTTGGTTTCAGGGCTTAGGGTTCAGGGTTCAGGTTTCGGGGTTCCGGGTTTAGGGTTTAGGGTTCAGGTTTTAGGATTCAGGGTTTAGGGTTCAGGTTTTAGGGTTCAGGAATTTGGATTTGGGGTTAGGGTGGCTTGTTTAGGGATTGCCTTGCATTCTTTCAACTTCATAAGTTTAAACCCTATAACCCTACATCCAGAACCTAGAACATTAAGCCCTAAAGCCCTAAACCTATGAACCCTGAAGCCAAAACACGGTACCATATAGTGTATGCTTTGGCCCCCAAGTACCTATATAGGGACTACTTGAATGCCGAAGTATACCCTAAACCCTAAACCCCTGAACCCCTAAACCCCTCAACCCCAAAACCCTAAACCCTAAACCCCTAAACCCCTAAACCCTAAACCCTAAACCCTAAACCCTAAACCCTAAACCTCTAAACCCAAAGCCCTAAGCCCTAAAGCCCTAAACCCCTC